ATCTATCTTACAAGCAAAGACTAAGCAAGCTGGGCCTGTTTAGCCCAGAGAAGACTGGGAGAGGAGCTGATCAATATTTGCAAATACCTCAGGAGGGAATGTAAAAAAGATGAGGCGAAACTCTTCTCAGTGGTGGCCAGTGACAAGACAAGGGATAATGGGTACAAATTAAAACACAGGCAGTTCCATCTCCATGTGAGAAAGAACTTCTTTCCTGTGAGGGTGCCAGAGCCCTGGCACAGGCTGCCCAGGGAGGCTGTGGAGTCTCCTTCTCTGGAGATCTTCCAAACCCGCCTGGATGCCGCCCTGTGCCCCRTGCTCTGGGTGTCCCTGCTGGAGCAGAGGGTTTGGATTGGATGATCTCTAGAGACCCCTTCCAACTTCAGCCATTTGGTGATTCTGTTTTTTGACTGCACACATCCATTACTACTTATTTTCTTCCCATCTGAAATTCTCATCATCCTCACTCTGTTCCCCTCACACATCCAGGACTGAGGCCATGTCACTAGTTCCCTGGGTTCCTCTCTGTACCCCTCCTATCCCTTCTTCACCATATCAAAGTCCCTCATTTCCCATCCCCTCCCCAGCYCCTGAGTTGAAATCCTGAGGCAAACAGTTGGGCATGACAGTGCTATAGGGATCATGGTTATGTCCCCCAGAACCTACAGCCTTCTCATGTTTTCAGCTTTACAGGTCCAGCAGCTTCAGCTGGCTGAGCTCATGGCTGAGCTTGAGTTTCTCTTGTGAGACTTGGGTTGGCAGTCAGCTCTCCTGCAGAAGGCCAAGGAGTTACAGGAGGAAGTAAGCGGGCTGAGCATCACCTGGAAAGATGAGCAAGAGATAGGTTATTCCTAGAGGCCATGCAGCTCCAGGAGTCCCAATCCTTCACAGCCGTGCAGTTGCTCAAGGGCTCTGTGCTATGTGAAATGGTACAATATTACAGACGTAGAAGATGGCTGGAAACTGATCATTTCTTGTAGGTTGCTTCTTAGTCTGCTGCAGACTTGCAATTGAGGAACAGGTTTAGTGCCTTCCAGGTCGAGGAGGAGTTGGACGTGGTTTTAAGGGAAACAACTAAGCCAACAGTCCCTGTGCCTTGTGGGACTACCTGGAAGAAGCAGTGAGTGGTGGATGTGGATGACTCCCTGCTGTAGGGCATAGAGAAATCTACCTTTAAACCTGACCTCTTGTCTAGAGAGATTTATTGTGTGACGGGGACTTGAATGTAAGATGCCATGGAAAGACTCACGATGATTGTCCATGTTTTGGACTGTTACCATCTGCTGCTCTTCCATGTGGGCACTAATGATATCTAGGGCAAGTTGAAAAACGTCAAATGGGATTTTAGAGCCCTGGGGATAGTTCTCAAGGGTCTGTGTGCCCTTGAGGTCATTGAGGTGCCCTGAGRTCATTTTCTCATCAATTCTGTCAGTGATGGGGAAGGATGGGAGGAGAAGAGATGGATTTTCTATGTTAGCAACTGGCTGCACTGCTGGTATTGACAACAGGGCTTTGGTTTCTGTTACCATGGGACCCTATTTGAAGACTGATAAATGTTGGGGAGAGATGGGATCCACTTCACTGAGGGGCACATATATCTTTGCCCACAAGTTGGCCAGCCTGGTAAGGAGGGCTTTAAATTAGGATAGATGGGAGAAGTCATAGACACAGTGCAGTCGTCATCGTCAAAAGGCAGCCCAAGTAGGGATGCCTCCAGCAGATGCATGCAACCAGGGAAGTGCATGTGGGACATGATTATGGCCCAGGGACATGACTTCTCCTGGGAGACCTGCATCTTTGATTACCACCCTGAAATACCTCTATATCAATGCACACAGCATGAGGAATAAATGGGTAGAATTAGGTGATCTCTTTGAAGTTAAAAAGACACAATGGGGTAACTTGCATGACTGCAGCGCTGCTGTGGACGGCCATGTGTCTTTTAGGAAAGCCAGGCCAGGAAGGTAATGAGTCGAGGAAGGCCAAGGCCCATTTGGAATTAAATCTGGCAATGGGCAACCAGAAGGGCTTCTTCAAATATATAAGTAGCAAAAGGAAGATTAGGGAAAATGGGGGCCTGCTGCTGAAGGGGGTCAGTGCCATGAAAAATACAGAGAAAGAAGAGTTATTGAATACCTTCTTTGCTTCCGTCTTTGCTAAGGCCAAACCTAAGGAATTGCAGAGTCTGGAGACAAGAGAGGGGGTGTGGAGAGAGGAAGACTTTTTCTTGGTTGAGGAGAACTGAGTTAGAGATCATTCAGGCAGCCTGARCGCCCACAAATCTATGAGCTCAATGGGATGCACCCACAAGTGCTGAGGGAGCTGGCAGATGTTATTGCTAGGCTTCTCTCCATCATCTTGGAAAGGTCTTTGAGAACAGGAGAGGTACCTGAGCCCTGGAAGAGAAGCAACGTCACTGTGGTGTCAAAAAGGGCAAGGAAGACCCAGGGAACTGAAGGCCAGTCATTCTCATCTCCTTCCCTAGAAAGGTGATGGAGCARTTCATCCTGCATATCTTCTCTAAGCATATTGAAGAAAAAAAGGGCAATCAAGAGTAGTCAGCATGGATTCAATATGGAGAAATCATGCTTGATCAGTCTAATAGCCCTCTGTGCTGGAATGACTGGCTGGGTAGATGAGGGCAGAGGAGTGGATGTTGTCCACCTTGACTTTAGCAAGTCTTTTGACACTAAAGAATATTTTCAGGGATATTTGATGTGCAATTCTCAAACAGTTCCAGTTTTTACCTGGCACCTCCACCAGCAACCTTCTTTTTTTTTTTTTTTCCAAAGGGAATTTATTGCTTTTGTAAAGCAGCTTTCTGGACTGAAGTCCTCTGTTTATCTCCACAGCCGGTACACCAGATTGTACCCAGTAATTTTCCCTGCATCTGTGAGGAGGGGCACCGCCGTGGCTCAGGACAGTTCAGTCTTTATCAGTGTCACTAGGCAGTGGCTTGATCGCTGGGAAAAGCGTCGCTGCTGGTTTCAGAAACAGGATGTGTGCGGGCACCTGAATGCACTGCTCAAGAGAGAGGGCCACTGCATAGGGGACACTCTGGGCTTGCCAAGGAGCCCTGGTAGAGAGAGGGTCTGGGCAGGAAAAGGCTCTACTTTTAGAAAAGGGTCTGGAAGCTGCCGGCTGGGATCAGCTGCAGGCTCCCGCTTTGCTCTCCTGTGCTGAAGTTCCCCCTGCAGAGTTAATCAGCACCTTGGCCTGGAGAGCGGGAGCTGCCRCATGTGACTGTGCGCTCCCATCCCCAACTATCCCAGTCCTGAGAGCTCTTCCATTCCCATAGTGAACAGCTCCAACTCACCAAAGATTAACACAGAAGAAAAAAAAAAAAAACCAGACAATTGTTTTCACAGGACAGGCAAGTATCTGCTTCAGACAAGTGCCAGCGCTGCCACACCGCGAGGCTGGCACTGAAACCCTGCACATCTTCCTTCAGTGCCTGCCACGTGCTCACATCCAGGTGACCTCCTCGCACCAGCCTCACCTCTCCACTCCCTAGATGTCTCTGGGCAGCTGTGCTGGCTACAGCTGCCCCTGGTGCACCTTGCTGGGGTATTTTGGCGCTTCTGGAGCCTTCTGTTCAGCATCCCCGCTGCGGCTTGGCGCCACGAGCAGCAGCCGGTCGGGGCAGGACTGCCTCCAGCTTACTCACCGTGGAACTTGATCCCCTGAGGCGCCCGCTGCTCTCCCTGCTGTTTTAGCCTTTGGCCTCGCTGCTGAAACAGTGATTCCTGCGCTGCAGCGGGCAGCCTGGCAGCGACATTGGCCTTCTCCGTATCGCATCGAGATATCAGGATCTATTCTGCTTCTTAGCAGACTGCCAGAAGGTGAAGGTGAGGTGATGATCTGCAATCGCTGCAGGCAAGGACAGTGTTTCAGCTGGTAACGTAAGAGGGAAACACGAGAGAAGGAAAGTTGCATGCACCATTCATCTGCTGCATTGGCCACACTGCTGGAGAGTAACCTGGAACAGGAGATGGAGACAGCCTCTATATGCAAGGAGACAGGTCAACACTGCCCCTCAGGAGAGGCTGGCACGCAGGGAGGCCCTGGGCCCACCTGCCCCTCATTTGGACCTGCCCCTGCCTCCCACCGCGCTGCCCTTTCCCTGCACTCTGCAGCAAAGCTGGCTGGCAGAGGTGTGAGCTACTGGCACGGGGAGGGACAAGCACTGACCCCATAAAGAAATTCAGAGCGAACAGCAGGGGCTGCTTGCTTGTTGGAGTGGTATGAAACACCTTGGCTCTGCTTCGAGCACGGTTCTGCAGTGCTGAGAGGCAATACAAATACCTGGCTCTGAAGGAACACAATCAGGTGCTCCGTAGCTGTAAGACAAGCCCCTGCCAACCACCACGCTTCATGCACCTTCAAGCATCACCCTGTAATTCCAAGACGACACCCCATTCCCACAGAAACGCAGGCTGGACTTGCCCCTTGCATCATTCCTCCTGCTGCACTTGCAGGCTCGGGCTGCAGCTTTAGCAGTAGCATAGGAGAAGTGGAAGAGCAATAAAACCAGCACGGGAAGCAGGCCCTGGCCTGGCTCTCCGCCACAGCCCTGCCCCTCCATCCACTTTCTGCAGGGAAAGGAAGGCAGAGAGTTGCAGTCCACACTGAAAGTGCGTGGGGGGCTGCAGCAGATGAACGTCCCACAAACTCCCCACCCTCTAATACCTTTCAGCTTAATCTACCCTTAAAAAATAGATCGAGGCTGGGGCATTCTGCAATCAGACAGGTTTTATTGAGTGTTTTATATGGGACAGTGAAAGTGTGTGCGCAATGAACAGACCACAGTGTATGAACGCACCCCAAAGCAGCAGATCTGTGAGTGCAGGSATCAGCGCGCTGGCCGAGCAGGCAGCCTGAAGCTCCCAAGAGCAGAGGTCTGTCCAAGCCCAGTTAGAGATGAGCCGGGTCTGTAGTCAGGCCTGGTCCAGCTGCTAGAGGAGACAGGGCTAACAGAGGCTGGAGCCCACAATGGCTTGTGGAAGGAGCAGGAGAGAGTCTTGGTCACTTCAAAATGCTTCTTAGGTCAGTTCCTGGTAATTCCTTGCAGGATATTATACAGATTTTACTGTCTTCCTGTGAGACAAGTATTTTTGCAGAGCCAAGACTAAACCAAAAGGACGGATGTTCTTATATTGACATACAAATAGAGCACAAAATGTTGATATTTATATAAATAATACATATTTATCCATATGAAAAATAGTTTAATTACYTAATAGTTTAATTAGCTTAATCAGCACAAACAGAAGATGCAGGCACAACATTCAGGAAAAAGTGTATTTCCATTCAAGCTTTGGACTGAAGCTTTGTCTTAAAGATCAGTATGTGAAACAAATAAGGCAAACATGAATGCAGCCCTACCACTATTAGCTAGGACCAGGTAAGAACATTCTTACACCCGTGGAGGAGCACTGCACTCATCACCTCTTGCTCAAGCTCAGCTTTGCAGGACCCCTTCCTGTCCCCTTCTCCTTGCTGCCACCAAGGGAAAGAGCTCTGGAAAGCTTTCCAGTCAATTCCRTTTGCCCCAGTACTCCCCAGTTTACATGTAGGGTTGCTACCGAATAGGAGTGGCTGGTGACCATAATTTCCTCCTTGTGTCAGTTTAAGCATGGGAGATGCTTCCCTGTCCTAACAAACTGCAGCTGCACAGCAGAAATGCAGGATGCAAGTTTATCATCTTGCAGGAATTATCTTACATGGATTGCTTTGTTTTCATATCCCTTCTTCCTTACTGGCTCTAACCAACTCTTTTTTTAATAGCAGCAGTTCTAGCAAAATTTAGCAGCAGTGACAGCCACAGCAGCAGCAAACACTTCAGGTCATGGGATCTAGTGAAATGCACAGGTTCTCTCAAAAGTGTGGGATCCAAAGAAGGCAGTGAAAATGCCAATATTCAAAGAAATGGGGCCTCCTTCTTCCTTTCAGGTGAGTTAGAATGGACATGAAAAGGGAGCTGAGAACAGTAATTGAAACCATTGGGAAAGGGGTTTACAAGCTTGCCCGAAATACTCAGGACTTTAGGGAGATACCTGATTATTCACAGACCTGTCCCAAAATAAGAGCAAGAACTAAAATTGTTTACAGCTCCTTGGGGAAGGTCTYGTAGGTACAGTTTGTAAGATGATTGACTCTGATCTGCCAAACAGTGACATAGACACTRCCCTGCTAGGAAAGGGTGACCTTGTGTGTGCAGTGGGGGAGGCTGAACTAGATGATCTCCAAAGGTCTCTTCCAACCTTCAGGATTCCGTGATTCTATGAAAAGCTGATCCAGAGTCAAAAGCAGTGCCTAAACGCATTTACACACCTGATACTTTAGCTTTCCATTCAGCTGGCAGAGCAGCCCAGTTGGGCTTGCTACTACAGTGAGAGGCACAGTGAGGACTGAATCACCACAAAGCCTCAGGTGAAAAAGGCTCCCATCCTTCAGAACATAAGCTGCACATGTTTAAACTCCACAGTTGTTTAGTCCAAAGCCTTAGGAAAAGTTGCCTTCAATCTTAAAACCACAGCTTAAGGCTCATCTCTTTTTGCTGTAATAAACCCATTTTACAACAGGTGTCAAAGATGAATCATTCCTGAAGGGCATTTTTGCTCTCCAGTGCATCAGAGATGAGTCTCCACGTCCAGCTTCTACACAGCTAACTTGAGGAGGTTCATCCAGGTTCTAGTGGCCTCGGAAGATGGACCCAATTCTTTATCTACTCTTCCTCACCTCAGTTTCAGCAGTTATGAGGCACGTTTAGCTAGGAGGGATAAAGCACCRACTCATAGGGGCTGGAATGAAGTGAACCAGGGCTACCTGCCTCCACCTAAGTTGGAGGCCAAGTGGCCTCAATGACTCTGCTTTCTCACCCCTCTCACTGCCGCKGAGTGGCCTCCTATTCCCAGCCTTTCTATTTAGTCCACAGTCTGTTACTCACATTACTCAAGAAAGCAAGGGCTCAGGAAAGGCCAGGGATCACATTACTTCAGCAATAGCCCCAACCTGAAGGAACAGCCAATGTCTACAGGGATTAACTCATTAAGGGGAGGAGTGAGCTTAGCAGCCCCAGCCTAGCATGAAAGGGCAAACAGACACCAGCTGGAAGCTTTTCAGTCATTTCCACAAGGCTCCCAACACTCACAAAACTGAGGTGAGAAAGCAGCAGCTTAACACGACTGCTGCCACTTGGCTCCCCCCAGCCACACAAGGGCTCTGCCCAATGCTGTRGGGCAAGGGGGCTTCCACAGCCTCTATCCTCTGAGCTCACTTCCAAACTGGAAGGCAAATCCACTGCCAGAGGCACCATCAGGGTAAAACAAACCCAACAGGCAGGGGTAGAGGGCACAGAGGGTGGAAAAGCAGCCAGTTAGGACTAAAACACAAAGGGTGGCTGCTTTTCTTCTGGGACCGTGTGGTGATTCCACCCATCATCAACAGCAGTTCCAAGAGGAACTGGCAGCCCGGGCACAGCACGGTGTGGACTGGGCTGCTAGGGCCAACCCACTGCCACCGTGACCTCTGTCCAACACACTGAAAATCCAGCTAGTTCTGGAAGGGCTGAAGTTTGGGATTACCCACCCACTGCACAATACTCTTGTGCTTATGACCGATCAAGTCCACCCCATGTTGGCCAGTTACTTCCAAGCTTGGAAGAAAGATTTCTTTTTTTCTGGGATCAGAAGCACTTGAAAAGAATTTAAGGATTTTACAGCTCTTGATGGATTAGCTTTGGACTTTTGTAAAACCGGCACTAGGAAGAAAAACTCAAGATAAGAGCTGGTGGGAAGTAGAAGATACTGCATGTAACAGCATAATCAAGAAAATATTAACATTCAGGCAGTAAGTTTAATCTGATTTAATTTTTTTTTCCATTTCATTTGTACTTACTTATCAAGGTACAATTGCAAGAAAATAAAAGTTGGTCTTTGCAGTGAGAGTTCTGCTAAAATTTAGTCATTACTTGGTCATTGCACTGTCAAACTGGCAGTCAAATAAGCTACAGCAGCTAGGTGAAAAATAACTTAATTCCAGCCCTCTGAATCCTGTCCTTTGTTTTGCCCCGATGTCAGAAAAATGCTTCCCTTCTTCCCCTGCCCTAAGCCTCTGCTTTTGTTTTCACACAGGTATTTCCTAACCTAACTCCCTTGCACAGACAAAACTTTCCAGAGCTCTTGGGCCTCTGCTTCAGTGCCTTTCTTTCCATCACCTTCAATGAATCTAAAACAATGTTTTGGAAAGCCAGACTTTAAACATAACAAACAAGGAACACACCAGTTAATTTAAGTAATATTCTTGCATATATATATATGCATATATATAGGTAAAAAAATAAGTTTGTCTCAACAAGAAAGATTGTGTAACCTGATTAAGAAATGCATCCCCAGCCGCTGTGCAATACTGTAAAACGTGCTGGCTGTAGAGCTGACACAAGGCTAGTAACGCTTATTTTCAGAATTAGAACAGAACAAAATCCCCCCACCCTAGCAGCAGCCTATTCTAGCCCCCCCAATAAACCTGATTCTTGGTTAGTGATTGCAAAATGCTGTTGAAGAGGCTCCAGGTAGCTGCAGGACTTCAGTTGGACTTCCTTTCCCGTTCCCGGGCAGTCACAAAGTTGAGGAGGTCGATGGCTGTTACGATCCCAAACACCATTTGCCGCTGGCTGGATGAACCATCTGTGTGATCTACAGGGAAAGATAAGGGGAGGTTCTGTCTTTAGGAGAAAGACAGACACCCCATTTCATCTTAACTGCCTGTGTGTGCAAAAGCAGCAGCAGMAGCTGTCCCTTCTCTGTGTGCCCAGGCATGCTGGCAGTGTTGGACATCACCGATTATTTGTAACTGATGAAGAGTTCATGGCAGCYTAGATTGCTGAACAACCTGGGTATGAGTAGACCAAAACCAAGCACCTCATGAACAGGAACCTGAGAAGGTGGCATCAGTGTTGACATCTAGCTCTTACTGCACTTCAGGAAGCTCTAATAAAGACTTTGCTTTGAAAATAYAGAAAGAACAGGTTTAGCTAGTCTTGGATATCCTCTGTCATGGAACTGCTGGAAGTTTTATGATAGGTCTAACCAGGAGCAAAATCATTTGTGTTGCAGAATCCTATTGGGAAACTGCTACAGACTTGAGCACATCAACATAACCCTGCATGTGCAGGAGGGTTGGACTAGATGACCTCTGGAGGTCCCTTCCAACCTTAACCCTTCTGTGATTCTATGATTTGTTGCACAGTGGGCTGGATTCAGGAATGACTGGCTCAGAAGTACACTGCAGTCCAGGGGGTTAATGGCTCGAACAATTCCCCCACAAGAACTGCAGTGCCAGTATCTGGCTACCAGCACGTGGTTACACACACGGAGGCTGTGGCTTCTTCAAGCATTTGTTTGCACATTCACATTTGTGTTTACCCCGTTACTTGTTCATACAGAAAACCCAATTTGCAAGGAGCAGTACTCACACTGAATTTGTTCATGGACCACTAGAGCAAAGTGATCTGTTTCCAGGATATGAGAAAGTTTCCCCAAGTTGTCTTTCAGGTTAATCTGAAAAAAAAAAAAATGAGTTAAAAATACTTGAGGAGGAGTCCTTTATCTTGTTGGTGGTAGATAGCCCCATATACTCAGTGCAGTATTAAAACAAAAAACACTACACCAGCATTTATCTAGTGCTTACATACAAAGTACTGTGAAACACCAGCAAAGTTCACCAGATCAAAGTTCAGTTAAAAAAACAGAGTTTGTTGCTTCTAATTTTTAAGAAATTGAATAAAACACATCAGTATATGATTTTTTCATTACAACTCTGAAATCATATTGGAGAAGCATTAACAAAATACTTCTGAAGAGAGGATGAAAAGGTGTGTTCTGTATTYGTAACATGAAGTTACCATGAATCTGAAGATCGTACTTACTGATTTTGCTCTAGCAAGATTGTGAGAAAGTGAGCAAATCAAACCACAGATCCCAGTGGAAGTGAATCCAATGGGAGAAGGGAAGAGGGAAAAGTCCAAACAAGCCAAAACCAAGTCAAGAGTGAAGAGTGCTCAGCTAACACTACTGAGGCCCAGGTCAGGGSACTCAATCAGAAATTCTTTTACAGTGAAACAGCTTTATAATAGAGTTGAACAAGAAAACACTCTTCATTGGCTCTATGGATGGCATAGAGGTCCCTCTAACACTTGACTAACCATCKTCTTTCAGAAAGCATCTGAAAGACGACAGAAAGCTGCATTCTTCCTACTACAACATTTAATTGCTTTTAAAAGTATTACCATGTCTATTATCCAAGTGACACTCCCCAGCTAATGTGAGCACCCACTATTTGATATTCTATCTTTAAAAGGGACTTAGAAGGGATAAGAGAGTTCACCGCAAAGAATTTTGTAGTGCAGATTGAAAAAGCTTTTACCATGCATCAAGCTCAGTTTGTGCCCGGGGAATGAACCTCACAGCACGAGCAGTGCAGCTGAGCTGGAAAACAGCTCTGATTCCCATCCTCTGAACTACAGGGAAAAAAGGAAAAGGAGGATGCCCAGCACCCTGTGTTTACGGTATATTAAAGGCAAAAAGCAGCCTGTAGTTCAGACTGATGTGTCAGGCCTTAGGTTTACAGGTCAGGCAAGAGGTGGCACCATTTTGGCCACTGCCTTAAACAAGTTGTCCCTCTGCTAAAAAACACAAGGCCTGATATCCATGACATCCACAGAGCAGTAGAGCCTCTCTTTGGAGGAGATGAAAATAAACTCGACCAGAGTTGGAATAAAAGCAAAATTCCACAAAGCTCCTCAGGTTGTGTATGTTTAACTAGGTTTCTCCATTAAAATGTCACTTTAAATGAAGAAACAGTGAATGAAGCTTTTAACTGGCATGTTAGCAATAYCACCATGTCATGTCCATCTCCCTCCACCTCTAGGAAGTAACATCAGTGTTGAAGATGAAAAGGATGTTTCAGTTTTTCTTTATTGAAGAGTACAAGGAAATTTAAAGTGTCCATGAAAACCCCCCAGCCTCAGAAGTGCAGGGAATGGGCTACTACAGCCAGCACCACTCTATAGCTACCAAAGTGATTGCACCACACCAGCCCCAGGAATGCTTAAGCTTTCCAAGTGAGAGAGAACAGGAGCTAAACAGATTTGCTACGCACCACATTTTCACCTGACACTTGATTATTTGTCTGCAAAGGAAAAGATACATTTACATTTCACCTACACAGAATTAGCATTCCTCCTCAACCAAAAAGACCCGGTAGATTAAATAGAAGTGTTATATACACTGCCTGAATACAGAAGCTCATTTATCTTGTCAGTGTTGGAACAAAAAGCCTAGTGAAAGTTAGATAAAGCATTCCATGCTGAAGGGGCCTTTTCCTGTAAATTAAGCAAAGCATCTGCAAAAAATACTTATGGGCAGCCACACAGCTGGGAAGTTTAGTGATATTCTGGCACACCATTCTGGATGAACGTGGGGAATTAGCTAACAAAGCTTCACATACCTTGACATCAGCTTTCACCAGCCATCCCCYTGCTTCAGCAAGGCATCTGATGCAAAAGGCAAGCACATGCCTGTTTTATCTGATACAGGAATTATTTAGTAAGAGCTGTTCCAACATCTGCCCATCTCTTCCCCTCAATATTCACATTGCCCAGCTTTGCTTTGGGGTTTTGGAGACAGACAAGAAGAGCAGAAGGAAGCCTGTCAAAGTAATAGAATGGCCCAATCTAGAGCCGGAACATGAGCCTAGGAGCTCATTCGGTGGCATGGGGGAGTCTACTGTGAATCCTAGGTCTGTGCTCAGTAATAGTCATTCTGTATGATCCCCTGTAAGCTTTACCCAACCCAAATAATGCTAGGAATATCAGAGCAGTACTTTAAACCATAGAACTGGGAATTGTGAAATATGTTTACCTGCTTGAACTGCTTGTATATTACTTTGCTGACTTCATCTGAAGGCTGAACTTTTCCAGCAAGCAGTGAGGAAAGCATGTTACCTAGGGTAACCATGCCCAAGATCACCCTGGGGAAGAAGGAGACAGCAAGACAAGAGGAGATACGGTTAAACAAAGCAAGCCATTGCTCTTTGCACTTTTGCTCTTCTCCCTCTCCTAACAAGGGTTTACAGAGGCTTATTAATCCCTTGTGTTAGCACTCTGACCAGAGCAAACCCTGGTTGTTCATTCTTCAGCCTGTTCTACAAGGAACCTACAGGACATCAAGGCATGCCAGGCTGCTGWGAGACTCCAGCAGCAGTTACTTTCTCGTTGCACTTCAGCAAAACATGCTGAAATAGCTGGATGAGAGTTGTGGAGATGGACAGGCTTGAGGTTCTGTGAATTTTTTCCTCCAATAAGTAGCTACTATTAAAAAGTGGAAAAATACTGAAGAGTCATTAACTATATCATGATAATAATTAGAAACTTATTAGATAAAGGTCATAACAGTCCTAGCATGACAATATTAAGTCCAACACTGCTATATTTAAGGTAACATTTTTGAACCATGCTGCAAATGGCAAACCACCACCCGAAGAAAGCCAGACAACAGGGAATATTATCCTCCTAGCAAGTGTTTAGAGACATCCCTTAGGGTGCCTGGTGGGTGAAGTAATAAGTGATAGTGAGAGACAAATATGTACGTATATGGACATACCCAGATTCATCAACAACTGGTACCTGGTCGAATCCTTTCTCTCGGAGGATTTCAACTGTCTTTGCACAGGTAACAGTTGGAAGCACAGTCAGGGGAGCCGAGAGGCTTAGCTCCTGAACACTGATGTTCCACCACCTAAGGACAAAAAAAATCATAAAACCAAGCAAGTCTTATGGGGAGAACAGAACTGGTAGCTCCATGTGCCATGGCCTCCAACACTAGAGGAATGACAAGAGGCTGTGATGAAGAGTCAGAAATCAGCCACAATTACTCATCTCTAGAGCTTCCAAGTTCTCTCCCCAGTGCCACAGAGACACTCAGGTGTGAAAAGGCATTATGATYGAAAGTCTCCTCACCAAATCTATTTCCTAGGATAGAATGTGGTTTGTAGAAGGTACCAGTCTCCCTAGCTTCACTGTTTACATCTTAAACAGGAAAGTCTGGACCTCTACTCAAAAAACTGGCTCTATCTACAGTCACTATAGGTAACTGTTTAAGGGAAGATCCTCCTCCACTAATGTACAGAAGTAGTACTTTGCACCAGAAARCTATGATCTCGGCAGAGCTGTGTAGACACTAGTTTTCGTTTTAAATATGAACCATTTCATTCAAAATCATTAAGCACCAAGTCTTTTCCGCTACCACACAACTCCAGAAAAGGGAATTTCATGACATTTAAGCACATTTGATTACACATCTAATTAAATGTGACACAGCAACACAAGAAGTTAGTTAAAAAGGGAAGTGGAACAAATTCCAATGATCTTTAAATTAGTAACTGCCACAATGACTACCAAAAAGACTCAAAAATCCATACTTACCAAGGTTTTTTAACAAGGTCTTCTTCTTTCATGAACCCCTTCTGAATCATCCATTTATCGCTCAAGAACTTGGACCTACAAAGCATCAGGAAGCGAAGAGCTCATCAGCTCTAGCACCTATCAACACCTAACAAGAGCAAACAATACTACACAAGACAACTGCACAGCCCACTACAACTAACAGCTACAGCGTAACTGAGGAACATACTGCCATTTGCCGTCCAAGCTTACCAGCCAGAGACACGGAGATGAAATCCTCACAGGAAGAAAAAGGAATCCCATAGGGTACAATGCTTCAACTATATTGCTCCCTTGCAATAGAGTATAAAGACAGCCTGGAATGGAGAAGTGCCAACCTGTGCTCAGCCAAGGCCTTTTTTTCCTGCAGCTTCTATAGTCACCCAGCACCGTGTTGGATGTAACACTAGCCATGAAGCACAGCTAAAGACATCGTGTGTAGCAATATGTTCAGAAGGGCACGAGGAATTTCCTCACAGCACAGCTGAGAGCTCTCATCCCTCCACCTGCAAGCCCATGCCAACACTGGCTCCTCTTGGAGTACTGCTATGTCCATCTGCCAGCACATGCGAAGAGAGGCAACAGCCTGAAAAGATCCTTCCAGAAATGGGATAGCATTGGTGTTCCCCAATAACAGAAAAGCCTGGAAGCAAATCTCTTCTGGAGGGAAGTTWACTACAAGTATACTAACTAGGAGTATACTAATTGGTATGGGTGGTTAGATACCAAAGACAAATGCAAGGACCTCTGCTTTCAGGACTGAATTCTACCATGTCAAACCCCTTCTAGGTTCTTCAGGAGCTGTGCCCAAAACACACTCCTTGCTTTGACAATTGGGTGCCTTGAGATGCATATTCAACTTGCCACTGAAGGCAAGTAAGGAGGCCTGAGACTGCCACCTCCTGGAAGGAAAGAGAGAAGGTTCTCACATGTAGTTCCTGATAGAGTCGGGGAGCATGACGACACAGCGCTGACCTTCCTTCAGTTCTTTGGCCGCCTTCACAGCTACAGACATGGCGCTGCCCGAGCTGCCRCCTGGCAAAATACGAGTCAGAAACAAAAGTGTCAAACACTGAAATGGAAGTGACAAAGGAAGGGACAGAGCAAAAGASCAGAGGGAAGGCCAGCACAGGAACCCAGGCTGAGGGGGATGATGGAACTGCAGAGAGGCCTCCCTGACCTGCACAGAGCCTCATCCTCCCACATACTCACAGCCCCAAGGATGAGTGTCGGCTCTTACCACACAGGAGTCCTTCCTCTCGGATCATCATGCGAGCAAGAGTAAATGATTCTTCATCGTTGCTCTTGTACCATTTGTCCACTGTCTGGGATGAGGCAGAAAGAGAAGAACAGACAGAACTTGAGATGAGGAGGGCTGGGCAATGATGCAGCTACATCAACGTTGCTTCAATCCAAGCTCCTTGAGGTAATAGCTGCCCTATTGATCCATTTGYTTAGGCTTCTATTCTGCAAGGGTTGGATGGTTTTGTTTGCCAAGAGAAGACAACCACAGTAACAGTCTGTACATTGACATCTTGCTGTGAGAAGAGCCACAGGGAACGTGAATCACCTTCCTCCCCTCTTGAAGGGCTTCTCAGGGACACAGGCTGTGCTCACATTGTCATGATTGTAGAAACTTTTTTTTTTTTTTAAATAAAGGAAATATGTTCTAGAAAGTGCTTTTTGCCCAGTCCTTCTACCCAAGATTCTAAATCATAAAGTTGTGCAGGAAGAAAGTCTAAGGATTATTTTCTTTGATGGGAAAGAACAGAAACAGTTTTGTCTGCTAGCCCTCCCCCTTTCAGCTCAAAAAAAMCACATTTTCTCAAGTTTCTTCTCCATCCCAGTGAAGGGCAAGRGGCAGTTTAACCAAGAAGCACGACTTACAGATCTATCCAGCACTGTGGGGACAAAGTCATACCCAATTCCTTCCACTTCGTACATTGTCTTGTCMGTCTTGTTCAGCTCGTCAGGTTGAGCAAGGATGGAGCCTTCAGGATCGACACCTATAATCTGCAGAAGTTTTCAGGTTGGCTGCTGTGACACACTGCTTTCAAGAACGCAGCTATTTACTCATCAGCACTGGCCTTCAGAGAGCACCCTGGCTGTGCACCCGCACAAAGCCCATGGCAATATGCCCTCCTGTTCAGCTCCCCCAGCAACACTCATCTCCCCTCTCCCCCTGTGATTAATGTACTTTGGTGCTCCTGGCCCTTAGCAACTCATCCCACCTCCTCAGGCTGTGGCCATGACAAGTGTGACTGTTTTACATGGTTTTGGCTTGGTTCGAAGTTGTTGCTATTCACACGTCAGGTATTGCTACAGTTAATACATTTCTGTGGCAAGTGCAGGCAGAAAAGTATATTCCTTTTGCTCTCTTACAAATCTGTAGTTTTACAGGCACAGAACCGTTCAAAAAAACACTTTCATTCTTAGAAACTCAACAGCTCCTGAAGATTAGCCATGGCACAGTCAAGGAGGCCACCAATGAGACCAGAGCACAACAGGGGTGCTGATGACCCTTCTCTCCTGCTCAACATTACATTTTACCTGAGGATAGCTCAAAGTTTTCCCATGGGACATCTACAGAGCAATTGCAAGGAGGCAGAGATGCTAGAGGAAAGGGAGTGGCTCCAATGGAGCCATCTGAGGCTCTCTAGGCTAAAGAAATATAAACTTGCTACCTACTTTGCATCCTGGGCACTTCTCCTTGAGCTTTCTGGAAATGCCAGTGAGGGTTCCTCCAGTGCCAGCTGTAGCCACAAACATGTCTATTTTTCCTGTTTAAGGGTGAGAAATCAAAAGGCATTTGCAAAACATTCCTGAGTGTGATGGGTTAAAAAAAGGAAAAAATATCTATTTATGCTTTTTACTCTCAACAAAAATGCAAAAAGTGGCAGAAGCTCAAAAAATGAGGATCCTTGCTTTCCAATAGCTGTATTAGGAGACCCATCTAGAGGCCAGTTTGCTCAATCTCCACTTACTCCAAAAAGCAATTCGGAAACATCCTTTTGGCAGACTGACAAAGCACCAATTTGTGAGGCTTYCAGCAGAGATGGAAGGTGACCAAGAGAGTTGAAACTTGCAGGTTAGTTAACCGAACAGATGGCCTGAGATAGGAGAGCTGTACACCAAATTGTTAACCCAAGTAATCTGCTCATTTATATGYGAGAGGCTATTGTTTTTATTATGAGTAGGCCCAGCAGAGCCAGTGTTGGTATGACAGAATTCATTTTTCTGTCACCTCCTTTGGATTTTGCAATATATGCATAGGTGGACCAAACCCTTAACTGCAGTTTTGTTAGTAAAAAGCATATTTAGAAAGATCATTGACTGGTACAGAAGTGAAYGTTTGCAAGTCAACAGAACAATACTCCAAACATGTCCCTCTTCAGAACCAAGACTGATGTAAGAACATACCTGGACTATAAGTAAGAGACACAAACRAGAGAGGAATGAAGCCTGCAGTTAGAATTCATCCTGTTTGTGGGATGGTAGTTTGTGAAAGTATGATCATTAACTCAAAAAAAGAAGTGGAAGGACACACTAATACATATTGTGCAGCACACAGAGATACTTTTTTGGGAAGCAGAGGAGARCACTGCACATAGTCCTCACCTTCATTAAGAAAAATAACCTATTTTGTTACTCCAGTAACCAAGGTCTCAGAAAATAAACTAACTGCACCGTTTTTTAYGGCAGGTCAGCAGCATCCACCACAGCTTCCCTCTACTTCCTGAGGAAGCTGTGGAAGCATGCTACACTGCATCCAATGCCTCTGGTAGCTCTCAGATGGATCCCCTGGCTGGGGGAGGCAGCCCAGCTCGAGCTCTCTGCTGCCACAGACAGGGCAGTCACTTGGGGCACTCCAGAGCTAGCGCAGGCAGGAGCCCTGCACGCCGCAGGGGCATTACTGCTATTAACCACAAGAGAGCGGCTTGTGCTTCTGAACATAACGGCCAGTGAAGCAGATTCCAGCCTAATGGAATATCTGGTCTGTACATAGTAACTAACAGAATTAGAATTACAACCTGTAGCAGACTCCAGGTAAGTATTAACTGAGAACAAAGATCTCTTCCCCGCCTCCATGTACAGTTTGAATTCTGAGCATGTAAAAATACTTATTTCTGTGAATAGACAAAAAGTAACCCTGTTTTCATGTCACTTCAGTTGCATCTTTTTTTGAATTAAGCATAACTGCTTTGTTCATCTGGTCATAAGCAAAGTAATCTAAAAATCAAAACATCTCTCCCTAATGGAAATGATGGTTTATTTTTGTAGCCATAGTAATAAGGCAACTCTCTAATTACACACAGAATATGGGGCATGTTATATTGAAAATCCATCCATTTCTCAGCCAACCCAGGCCTCTTTCTTCACAAAGCTGGAAGAACAATACAGAATCCTAGCAAYTCATTAAATGAAAGGGCTAAAACAGCAGAGGTACCTTCACATTGCTGCAGAATCTCTTCAGCCGTGGTGTCATAGTGTGTCAGGGGGTTGCTGGCATTACGATACTGTATTGAAAGACAGAGCCATTAAGTAAATAATAAAACCAAGATTTTGTAACCTGAGGCATTGCAAAAACCTGACAGGCAAATTCTCCAAGCACGACTGCTGCATATTCTGCTTCCAGACTGTTTCCTTATCTGTTATCTGGACCTAGGCAGAATGCCTCAGGCTAAATATAACATCCCCAAATGATTTAATGTAAGAGTGGTCCTAAGGCATTAGCATCCGCCAGCATCAAGATCAGTCCTGTCTGTGGAAAAGTTTCTTTCAAGGCATATATGACCYGCTTCTCTATGCAACACTGCCTGCTCAGCAGAGAAAGTCACCCTGATCTTTTTGCATSTCTGCAGACACTGCCTTCCTGCTGCCCTCCAGTGAAATAAAAAGGTTGCTGCCCTGCAGCATGGTGCTGGCTCCATAGCTTCCCTTGCCAGGGCTGGGACATGCTTGCTCCCCCCAGACTCACACAGGCTGTTTAAAATTTAGYCAGCAACATTAAGGCACAAGGCTGCGACATCCACCTTCCATGCTAGACCTCCAAACATCCACTTCTTACCTGGTCTAGGATATGGGCATTAGGGATTTCGTTTTTCAGCCTCCATGCTACTCCCACATGAGACTCAGGAGAGTCAAATCTGGCAGTAGTCGGTGTCCTCACAATCTCAGCACCCAGGGCCCTCAGGACATCCACCTGCAGCAAACAAAGGTGGTCAAAAAACTCCCAAACTCTTTCCCAGCACAGAAACCTCACTGGGATGGACAGGAAAATGTTTTATATCTCTTTCACCCAGTCCGGAATAGCTTCTAGCTGYTCACCTCTGCCCTTGCCTTCTGGATATATAACTGGATCCAAAAATCCTAATGCCATTTAGTCTCTTAACTTTAAATRTTGCTTCCGGTCCAGACATCCAGGTTTTTGGAAGCCTTTATTCCACATTGAGGAGCCTTATCCAGACAAAACTGTCTCCTCTCATACTCTTAAGTGTTCTGCAGGGGATTCTGCACTCTGGGGCAGTGATAGCACTCCTGCATGTCTTAGTAACAACTGTGCATATTTATGTCCTCCTTTGGACACAGACAGCAAAGAGGGATCCTCCAGGGCCCTGTTTACTCCCTCTGTCCCTGTGAGGATGAGAAATTGAAAGTCAGCTGTGCCAAGGCCTGTGAGCGAAGCAGAGCCCTTGGGTGCTGCTGTGTGGAGACTCTCCCTGCAGAGTGAGGGAGAATGAGCCCTGGGCCCAGGACTGCAGGGCACATTGCCATGCAGCTGGAATATGGCAAAGCTTTGCACCGAGAACTGTTTTGCTAAGCTGCAAAACACAGATGACCATCCAGAGAGCACTCAACTTCAGGGGCAGCATCACCCTAGAAGCAGCTCCAGGCTGGGCTGATAGACTGTGAGGCTTTTATGTTCTTATGCTTTCCACAGCAAAATAACCTGATGTGATCCAGGTGGTTTTTTTCCTCTCTTCCCTGTGCTGTGGCAGCTGCACAGCTTGAACACTTGCCAACAGCCCTCAGGGTTTCACTTGAGGGAACTCTGGACATTCCCCCTTGCTTCGTTTGGGCCAGAACAGCAGAACAGTCAAAGCTTGAGCCCCTACCTTCCTCCCTACTCCTCTGTGGCAAAAGTGACAAACAAGCCAGGGAGAGGTAGTCACTTCAGTTTGTTGAGTAGATCTCAAGATCCTCTGACTTCGTTTTTTTTTTTAACAGTTATGATAGTTCCTTTAATTACAGCACTGCAGGGGCAGGGCTCTAAACACCATAGTACTGCCTGTGGTTAGCTACCACAGCTACCTTTAATTTTCTTAATTAAGACACTAGCAATAGCCCCTTGGCCAGAATATATTCAGCAGGGTTCTACCTAACCAATGACTTGGAAGCCAAGGGCCTCCACCTTCACTGCTAAAGCCACAACACTCGCTTGCATCAAGAACTCTGCAAGCTCAAGCGTGTTTATTTGTTCGTATTTCTAAAACAAAAGGAGATCTGACCTTCTCCATACTCATTTTCTCTGGCATCACAATGATACAGCGGTAGCCCTTCACTGCTGCAGCCAAGGCCAGCCCGATTCCTAGAAACAAGCAAAGGCATGCAGAGCATCAAATGACAAGCAAATAAACAAAATCCTCCAAAATTYGCAAATTTTACCTTAAAAAGAAAAATAATCATCACATCCCCTTCCTCATGGCCTTTCCCCATCCCAACAATTAAAAAATCACGTGTGTAGAATCAGTTTTAAGATAGAGGATTATAGCAGTTGTTTATAGAGATCTGGATGAGACTTGATTCTGCACTAAGTCCCTAACTTGTCACACCTCTAAATCCTTTCTGAAGGACATGATTCAGATACTGTGTGTGTCAGATTCTAATGCACYACATCCACTTCCTACACTAGTTAGTTATTTGGACTGTTAGATGCACATACCCCACCTCTGGTTTCCAAATCTCTACCTCCAACATGACTCTTTCTGCATGGCTCTGGGCGCCTGCCTGAAGGGCTGACCTCAGAATTACCCTCCCTAGGGCACAAGGCTGGCAACTGCTACCCAGCAGRGTGCTTCATCAGATCAAGTTAGATCTGATGTACAGCTCCATGGCACCACCCCTGCTATTTTGGATACCAGATGTACCCAGAGACATCTGGTCCATGACAACACCTCAAAGCAGTTACCCCCATGCAGGAAGCTGTGGTTTCAGAAATGGCTTTGCTTCTACAGAGCACAAGGCTGGGCAGTTGCAGTAAAAACAAAAATTGTGTTTTACATATGGACTGGAATTAAGTGTTTTGAGATGCTACTTCTAACACCATACTTCTTGCTAGTGACTTCAAAGTGCAGCAAATTCCAAATCAGAACAGAGATGCAGAGAAAAGCAGCCTTGTACTTTTATAGCAGTGCCCCACAACAAAAGGCAGTGGCCACAGGTTATTCCCTATCCAGCTCTTTGCTTTTAAATCAAAACAGCTTTCTCAAACTACTACCCTGTATCCCCTTCATGGCCGATTTATCTTTTTGGAATCTGTGACAAGGTGAACTGTATATTATGTATTGCCTTAAGCAGCTGGATGTCAGTGTGACTGGAGGACTGCAGTCACATTACAATATATACACAATGTGCAGACACATTACAATATATAATGCATATTATATTGTAACATATAATACTACATATATATTATTTTCCTCCATTAAGTTATGCTGCCATCCAGCTGCTTGATCCTGTATCTGATAATAGTTTCCTTGCCTATATACACACACGTGCAYATATATGTATATGCACATACCTAGTTATAATGTGCACATATGAGATTATCTGTGTAGATATGCAAGCAGTTGTTAATCTTGCAGGGGCATCTGCACTGCAGTCCCAACACTGGGATGCTGGTTGCCACTCATGGAGCTCTGTCCTCCTCTGGTACCTCTGTGTAAGACGTACCAGGGTCACAGGCAACTGACCTCTCTGCAAACCTCACTCTGCTAATGCTGCACRTCACTGTCTCAGTACTGCTCACAGCTCTCACCAACAGCTTATAACTCAGTACACAACCAAGCCCAGGAGCTGTGTGCTACACAGGGGCATTTTGTTGCAAGGCAAAAGCAGTGCCAAGCCCAGCACGGAATCACCCCCTCGGGAAAAGGCTCAGCACAGCAGAAGATGCCATTGCTAAGGCAAGGCACACTCCAAAGCCTCAGCAACACTGCGTCTCTCACTGGGCAGCCTGCTGAACAAGTGACATGGGACTTCCCAGTCATCTCTGTTGAAGGCAAGTGAACCTGTCGCAGATCAGCTCACCCATCCCAGTCCCTCCATTGATATCAGGCCATCTGCTATTTTGAGGAGCTCCAGGTATATTTATTCTCTGCAAGTAGAGCAGCCCAATATATCAGTTGAAATAGCTTAAGCACAAGACACCAGTCAACTATCTGGTCTGCTCCCAGCCACAAGATTCTTCCCTGGCCCAACTGGTGGGACTGTTTCTTCTTCCAGTCTTCCTCAAGGAAGAGATGCCAGCCCAAGGAAAATCTGCTGAAAAGTTAAGGTGTGTAAGCGCTGCCTGCCTCAGTAGAGAGTGGTACAGCAGATCAGTTCAACACYAACTGCTGAGCTGTTTTGTAGCTTTCTCAGAAACAGCCTTTCTGTACTAGGATCAGACCCAACTCACTTAACARTGCAGAAGCAAGGACTACAGAAGTTTCCAAACAAGAAAAGGCACAGTTTCAACCAGTCTTTTGATACTTAAATTCCAGTAATATTACGTTTTCTTTCTCAAATTAGTGATGATTCCTAGTGAATCGGGTCTAACACCTTTTTCTTTTAGAAAACAGAGAGCCTCTGCAAGTTTAGCACATTTTTGCAGCTGTTCCGCTCAGCACAGCTCATTTCCTCCTCTCCATCTCACACATAAGGTGCAGCTCTGCAGCACTCCATCTACCATGCAGGCAAGAAGAGATCTCCTTTCTCCTTTGCAAAGGCAGCATCCAGGCTTTGGACTGAGGTCTGCCACTTCTACAGATTCTACACTTCATCAGGACCCTTCATCCCCTACCTGTGTTTCCAGAAGTTGGCTCTATGATGGTGTCTCCAGGCTTCAAGATTCCAGCTCTCTCAGCATCTTCTACCATCCTCAGGCTGATGCGGTCCTTCACACTGCCCCCGGCATTGAAGTACTCACATTTTACCACTRAGAACAAAGAAAAACAGAGGCCTTCAGCAGCAGTTTTTTGCCAACAGGCTGCTCATCTCTAACATACTTTGAAGAGCAACTTTGTTAACATGCCAGCAGAAATCACCTCCCTGCTTCCAGCAGGAAAGATGGGGATTCTCTGATGCTAATCACAGGGACCTGCAATCTGTCAATCCAACCATAGAAATGTCATTTCTTCTCTCATCTGTCCTCTTCTGTTAAGCCTGRTCAGAAAAGTCACAGAGCTGTTCCAACACAATGGCAGAGAAGATGCTCTGCCCCTGCCTTCCTTCCTTCCTGCTGCATTCTTCAGCCAAAAGCAGGGCGATTCAACAGCAAGTTTCTCCTCTTGTTCAGTCTATACTTTCACCTCAGCCCTCCCTGCTTTAATCCTTTCAAGGCTGTTAACACTATCTTCAGGACTCTGACCAAAAATGCTGAATATAATATGGATTTAAATTCTACACAGGATGGTTTATTAACATAATTTCATTTATTTCACGATCCTTTTGAGTTATCTTTAACAAATAACCGCACTCATTTTGCAGGCACTGGTGGCAACTCTGAATATCAGAGGCAGTCAAAAGCTTCAGATGTTCTTTCTCCTCTACCCACTAAGCTTGCTCCATGGAAGCAGAAAGTTTGCTAGAGTGTTAAATATGCAGGAATTCTCAAGAAGTGTAAACTTTGGACAATCAAAACATGAAAATCCCCTCATTTTCTACAGGGTCTCTACGTTCCTTATATGCTCAGGTCTCATGAAACAAACATGGTTGTGAAACTGCTTCTAATTTTGCTCTTCTGCCTGCACTAGTACTCACAGAGCTCACACTTCAGCCCGAAGTACTTCCCAATCTTGTTGATTCGCACCAGGGGTGTATTTCCAACCTTATTCAGGATGTTGGGCAGGATTTTTGGAGGCTCTGACCTAGCACACAAAAAGCAACTTCAGTGGATGCACAAAAGGACAGACAGGTAGATCAAAAGGCAGTAACACAGAGGTTCTGCTGTTCTTTATTGCACCTGACTTTCTCTCTTCCCTTATCAGGCTACTTACCTTGAATATTATTTTAAGAGAAATGAAACATCAAATCCCTGATCCAAAACTCAAGGATTTGACACCAAGCTAAGTGTGCCAAGACTAGTGTGCTCTACACTTTTTTCCAGTATCAAATAGCTTAGCATTCCTCAGTCAATTGTTTTATCAAACAAAAGACATTAACAGTACAATCCTTCATGTAGTCAGAGAACTGTATGCCAGGTTCCTTAAAGTGCATCTAGTTTCACATCACAGTGTCTTGGGTCTCCTATACTTAGTCTACATTCTCAGGTTTGCTTATTCATGAAAAATTAAAGAGCACCAACACATCTATAAGCAAAGCAGCACCAATTTAAATCAGCTAGCTCTTGTTAAACCCATGTGTCTCTAAGTGGGCCAGGATTAGCCCTTTACCTAAAGCCCATAAGCAAAATAAGCAATGCTTACATAGTGATATGACGATGTGGGGAGGCGGAGAGGGGCTTCCCAAGCTTCCAGGTGCATTTGCTAGGGGTATCAGGACGAATCCACTTCCTTTCATTGTCAGAAGCCTTACAGCTCTCGTTGTCCTTCGCACCAGAGAGGAAATACTTGCCAGGCAGGTAAGGGCACGAGTTTGTATCTGTTACAGCCTGGGAAAGAAATGAAAGCATTTCATCCTTGAAAAAGAAAAGCCTGCAGTTATTCATATAACCCAGTTTAAGAGTCAGCGCATCCTTTGAGGTGAACAAAGTTGCTCACGTCCTGAGACTCTATGGGAAGCCACCCACTGCAGTCACACTGCTACCCAGCTATGACAACTAAAATCACTACAATGAAGGCAGTGCTCAGACTTCACCAAAGTAGCTATTTCTTGTCTAATGTTTCATCAGGCTTTTTTTTTTTTTTTTTGCAAGCAGCCTGGACAGGCCTGCCCACCCTCCCCAGGTGACAAAGGTGAGAGAAGCATGGCCATGTGAGGAAAGATGGACAACAGCAACCAACAGATACTAGTTAGTAGATTCTTCCAACACCCAAGAAGTTTTGCCACCAGCTATGAAGGATGCTAAGATCTCTTGCAAGACATGGAAACAGTGCAGAGCGTGAAATACATCAGGCAAATCTCATCCTCAAGTATCCAAGTCTTGCTTTTGACCAAAAACTAAAAATGGACTACTCTCATGGAGATATCCCTCCCCAAAACAGCCCTCAGAAAGTCCTCTTCATTCCAAGCAGCAAGGAACACAGCTCTGAAATGACTAATCAGAAAATAGTGCTGAAGGACTTCACACTTTACTTAGCCATGAAGGACAAAAATGCTTTAAAAAAATGCCATTATTTTCACCAGGACTTGTATGTCAGACGTCCAGAAAATCCTCTGAAAACCAACAGGGCTTTCCCAAACTCTGATAATAAATAGTAAGACAGGCAGTCTTCTGCCCAAAAGAATATTAATTTGGAGAGAGCATTCAACTAAATAAGCAGAAGATCTTTATTAAAAACTCCACCCTTTACTGAGCTTTTCAAGGAAAACAGGAAACTCTCAGGAGCAGCTTGACATCACTTAGCTCACTGGGTTTCCCGTAAGATTCACTGTAAGATGCCTGCACATCAGCAGGCATGGAAGCTGTTCCACTGGTGCTTAGAATAATGATTTAAGGCAAGTTGCATCTTAAATCTTCTCATGTTTTGAAATGGTTCGCCATTAATGTTGGTATTTAATACCCCTCAGATCTTAGAAAGGATTCTGAAAACTAAGTGTGTTTAGTTAGTGAAAAATAAAACCCATTGCTTTTTATGCCTTATTTTTGCCTTTTGCTATGGAGGCTCTAGTTTTAATCTATTTTCCATTTTTAAGACTGCAGCTGTAGGGCATAATCCAAGGCTGAAGGCAATTGATTTCTTGAGCTTTACGCTCCAGCTAACTTTATAAAGACTGTTTTTGATGATACTTAAGCTGAGACATCAGAAGTGTTAGACACAGAGCACCAGTGTTTTGTTGGTTCCAAAATTGTCAATGATTGTAAAACCTAGCAGATGAGAAAAATTTCTCATGCCTAGAAACATTCCCAGGTGGTTTCCTCAGAGACACATGGACCCTTCTCATGATCTCTATTCATCTTCAAGCTTCACAGTACCTTGGGAACAGAAGCAGGGCTTTCGGATATTAGCTTCTCCATGCTCTTAGGTAAGGGTGAACACACAGACTTTCTTCAGACTTTCTCCTTGGGAGAAGACAAATGTCCCACTTCTGTGAGAAACAGGAAGCTGCAGAATAAAGCAAAGATTACTTGTAAAGGCAGGATTTTTTTTTTAWATAGCATGACAAGCTATAAAGCAAGAGCAACTGACAACTTTGATCTTTTTGGATTACCTACTCTTCCCACCGTGCCTCCCTCCATGGAGGGAGATATATTACTGTATGTAGAAAACAACTGTAATTGACTGCCTTTCCATTAGCCTGGCAGCCATAAAAAAGAAAAATGCTTCASTCTGCAGGGTGTATTTTGTTATACACACCAAGTACAAAAGGGTCATTTCACCAGGCCAATACCAAAGGAGAAAGGGGATTCTGTAACATSCTTTAGGAGAAAGCTCTSTATAAGGACACTYGCAGAAGTCTCTCCATCCTCAGCTTTGAGTTCCTCCCAAGACTGAATTGTTGACTGCCCAACTGCAGTGCTGATGAACACCATGCACACAGGACACTTCTACCACAATGAAGAGTTTCCTCCAGTTTCTTGGTTTCAGAAGCTAGTAAATATAAAAATAAGATCACCAAGTTAAATTTCCCTAAATCAGGCAGGTGTTTGAGTCTTCATGCTTACATAACTAGCTTCCTTTCCACTGAAGAGGAGTCTGGCTGAAGTCTTGGAAAAAATGTGCTTATTTCTTAATATTTGGGCTCACCATCACTGTTTGGCACTAGAATTTGTTACTTCCCATTACTGAACTATATTGAGCCTGAAAAGAGTTTCTGCTGAATAGAGAAAACAGRTGTAGCTCAAAACAGAACTAAGGGTCCAGTGACAGACTGGGAAAAAAACCTCTCAATCACAAGATCAGTGAACTTCAGCATTTCAGTCTGCAAGTTACCATGCACCATTAACCACTACTGCCTTGTGCACAATAATTTATCTTGCAGGCTGAACAAAAACACAACAAAAAAGAAAAAGCATTATTTTAAGCACCCCCATTCAAGAAGACATGCCTCTAGYAGCAAATTTGCAGACTAAAGCTAGAAATAATTCTCCTTATAGATGCAAGAAACCTCTCCACACCGAAGCTATACCATTTTACTTTAAGTAATATATGCCACGCACCAAGATAGGTTACAATCTATCCTAGTCTAGTGACTAGGACCAGACCAACTCACACAACAGCCTAAGACAGCTAATACTCCAAACACATGGGTAAACACCAACCTATTAGCAGACCAGTGGATGCATCCAGCTCTGGAGACCAAACCTTCACTTCTGCTTCTAGGTGGCTAGTTCACAGCTCAGAATAGCAGCACCTCTTTGGTAAGGACAAGATGCTGTGGAAGTTTGAAGTCTGAGGTGCACATACAAGGTCCTTCCAATAGCCTGCATACACACAGCAGTGCTGGGCACAGACACCAACTGTCTCATGTCAAAAACTGAGAGTGTCTGCATAGGGCACTTAAGCAGAGTCTCTTCTCAATCCTCTCCTGTATGCAGGAAACAAGCAGCAAGGGCTTAACAATAAAAATAACATGTGCTACTCTCTGCCTCTGTTCTCAGACTAAAGCGTGAAACAAGTCTAAGTTGCCAAAACTYTGTTTTGGAGCATCCAAAAGAACTGAGGACACATGGAGAAAAAAATGCTMTCGAAATAATGGTTTTTAGCCATTTAAGGTACTTGTTCTTTACTTATCTGAAGGAAAGAAATAAATATTCTTGAAGAATTGTTTTTCTGAAGGAAAACTGAAATTCTGTTGGAATTTAGCATTTCTCTATGTGGCTTGGCAAAACAGCACCATATCGTTTCCTCTGCTGTAATGACAAATATCCTAGTTCAGAGCAAATATCCTAGTCTACCCCTGGCTGGGGGCGAGGAAGAAAAAAAACAAAAAAAAAAGAAACAAACAAACAAAAAAAAAAAACAGGAAAAAAGCTGCATTTACTGCCTTTAACTAAGAGCTGTTACACCCATTTCTCATTGAGAGATGTCAGTTACTTTGATTAAAAAAAATCTAGTCCCATTTTGAACAAAATGAGCCTAAAAAGAAAAGCTAATCAGCAGCCCTGCCAACCAAAATACTGATCTCAAGCAACACAATTCATCTGAAGAAAGATGTTCCTGTTCAACAAGTCTCAAAATTAGGCATAGCCTTATAAGRCATCATTCGAAATATCTACCTCAAGAGTATATTTGCATACATGCATTTATAAAGTCACATAACTAATGACACTAACATAGAACCCATCCCAACTATGATCCACGTGAAAGTATTTTCAAGAATAAATACTCATTCCCCTTTGGCCCCTAAGAGGGGAAGGAAATAAAAGTTGAGTGCAACCCTCAGTTGAAATGCAAGGAGAGCAGCAAAAGCTTCTGTGCTACAAAGTACCACAGGTCGGAACAGGCCAGAAGGCCAGTGTGACTTGATATGGTCAAAGTCACCAGGAGGATCCCGGACCCTCCACCTGCCCCTGCTGCTGCTGAAGTAGCTACTGCATCRGTGAACTATAGCTTCCTGACACCATCTAAAATCCAGCTGCCACTTCCAGCCCTAACCGAAGATGTTACTTCAGCAAAACACGGTGCAGAGTTTGGGGTGATTTAAGATGTTCCAGCCTCACCAAGACTATGACGCTGCCRACAGATCCAAACCAGGACATAAGATGTTGAGGCCTCCTTCTAAGGAAGAGACCTTTGATGGATTAAGTGGTGGGAGTGAGCAGGAAGTCACTCAAACAGAGGACGATAAAAACTTTTCTCCTCCATCGGCCTGACCTCCTCTCTTAACCTGGCAGTGCAGACTGGGGGAGTSAGGGCAGTTTCTTCACTAAATTGTGCCTCTGCTGTTCTAAATGCATTTGACACCCATAACTAGCTAGGGAATATGGGAGAGTCCAACTAGAAAAGCCTGACTAACCTCTGTCATTAGACCTGCAGAACACGAGACAGAAGTGAAGTCAAAGGTAATTCACAGAAAATTTAAATCCAGGTCAGGAAGGGAGCTGGGACACACAGAGAGATAGGAGTTTGAGGAAGGCCCAGACAAGTGTCTGCATCCCTGCGGCCACCTGCACAGAGTGCTGGAGGCCCAAGCCGTTCCCCCGCTCCTGCTGAAGGGCTTCACAAAGCAGGGCTGAAGGCCGGGGAGGGAAACCAATGTTCAAAGGGCCTGGGCTGAACTCCCCTCGGGAATATGAATGGGCTGGAGCTTCTGAGGCTGTTTGCAGCACATCAGCACCAACGCACACAGCATGCAAACAGCATCATGCACATGAGAACCTAATTCATTTCACTCCTGTCTGAAGCACAAATCAAGCTGTCTAAAAGGCAGGTGTAAGAGATGAATTTGGGCAATGGCCCAGGGGCTGACTACTCAGTGCAAGGCAAGACATGGATTCCACATGCTGCAGCCTGAGAATGGAGACAGTGACCTTGAGCAGATACTCTTCTAGGATGAAGAGTAACCCACTGGGAAGCAAYTGTTCTGCTTACTCTGTGGTACCACATAGTCTCAGGGCTCTCTGCTAGAGGTAGCCTTACCCATACAGCAAATAGAGCCCTTGGAAACTGCTAGGGACCACTGTAGCTATGAAGGGTTCAGGAGACAGCCAGCCATCTGGCTTCTCACTTTGCTCCTTCATCAGTAGSAGCCAGACATCTCATGTTAAACAGCAGCCACCAACTAGCATGAAATAACTGAGGTACAAAATAACAGCATAGCAATATRAAACCTTAGGAAAAGGTACTTTAAGAACCATGAGACTCATCTTAGTCCTCTCCTCTACAGAGAGGATGAGGACACAGATGCTGCCTCAGCCACCACTCTTCCTTCTAGGGCTGGAAGAGTGTATTCACAGCCCTCCYGATGTGAGGTCCATCCTTCATTAAYACTCCTACCTCTGAAACATTGCAAAGGCATTAAGACTTCAACAGGAAAGCAGCTCCTGTCACTGTGGCACTATGCTATGTTTAAGAACAACCAGTGAAGAGACAGAAGTGTCCAGTCTACCCCATCCACACAGAAAGAAAATGATGCATTCAGCACTAAACAGTGTCTGGTGTTTCCTCTATCTGGAGTTTACCCCCTAAACCMTGCCTGGACCCGCCTGAGAAGTTTTCTGAACCAACACTGGTAAGAAGAGCATTAGAGAAAAGAGTGGTGCATATCTAACCTGCCTTTTTACCTGCTGCAGTCAGGATTTAAAATAACCACCAAACACAGCCACTTTTCACACACCTTATCCTTCCTTCTGGTTCCCTCTCCCTTGTCAGCATGAACACAGGCCAATGCTAGAGTCAGAAAAACGCTCTCAATCYGCCAAGCTCATCGAGCACAGAGCAGGAAGCAGAATTAGAGCTTTGCTCACAGCTTCTGTCCCAGTACATAGAACAGGGAAGGTCATAGCYCCCCTTTCCCCGTTTCACAGTGCCTCCCCAAAGCATCAGTCYTTTACTAGCAAAGGACCTCTGAGAAAGCCTGGCAGAGAAGCACCAGCCACCACAACCTGGATGGGAGGGCTGCCATCTGGCTGGCAAGTTTTTTGGTTTTTCCCCCCCCTCCGTGGGAAAGACCAGCTGCTACCTGTTCCAATTGCACATGTGGAGCTTTCAGCAGGCAGCCACAAGCCTGAGCCACGAGCACGGCACAACCTACAGCTCGCCCAAGTCCTCCGTGTCTCGCGGGCAGACAGTAAATATCCGCCACGAGCCAAGAGGCAAATTCAACCAGAGCCTCCCGGGAGCCTGTGATGCTGCCAGCACCAGATTAATGATGTACCTGGGCTGGAGCGTGCCACGAGCCCTGGGCGACCTTGCTGTCGCAGAACAAGTTCTGCTCCGGCTTCAGGGAAGCGGGCTCGTTAACTCRCACTTGGGCATTTGCAACAGGATATCCAGAAAACTGCCAGGTGCCGTCAAAATAAAGGCCTGTCCAATGCCCTAAATATTGGGTCAGTATCTAAGCCTTACTTCATCAATAACTATCTTCACACCTCTACTCCTGTTGAGAAGCACCAGGTCCTAAGCAGGTCTGTTTCAGAGGGGGCACCTTCCCAGGGTACCACACTCTACCTGGGACCCTCCACTAAAACCCTGCCGATTCCACCCCTCTCCATACTCTGGGATTTTTCCTATTTCCCCTCCATCAGGGGTTTTGCAGAACGTGGAGCTCTTGTTCCCCAACTCAGCAAACACACTCAGTTAGAAGGTAAATACACGCTGAGTAACTTCGCTGGAYTGAGGCCAGAGCGCTCCACAACGTTCATGGTCAAAGGCTTCAGGATTAAAGAGAAACTCTGAAAAATAAAAACCAGATATTCAAACAAGGACAGGAGAGGAATCCCCGTTCTCCCAAGTCATGGCTGGCTCAGGAAGATGCCATCAGTGTTATCACCTCCTACTGGGAGCAGCTCCCTGAGCCTCACATTCAGATCTCTCCTGTACCRGACACTGTGGAAGGTAAAAGGTTGATAAAAGCAGTTTCTTGGTCCAACGGGCTTGCCAGACTTGCTAAGGAGGGTTAAAATGAAGAGACATGGAGGATCCTTGTGGTACCTGGAGAACAACAGGGGGCAGGAGCAGCGGGAAGAGCTGTGCGGAGCTGGAGGGAAGAGGAGCTCTCCCTGTGGAAGCCTCTGCCGAGGGAGGGCGCCTCCTCCTCCGGTCCTGGAGYCAGGCTCGCGTGCCCGAGCGCTGCCCAGCGCGGCCCCACGCGGGACAGCCACCCCAGGCTCCCGCTCCGACGCGCCAGGCGGCTCCCACTTACCGGGAACGGGGCGCTACTCCAAGCGGCCGCTTCTCTCGTTAAGAAACGAGCGAATTGGCCCCCACCAGCCGCGAGGAGCGCGGCCGCCCCCCGCCCGCAGCCGTTAACGGCTCCGCACGAGGCGCCGCGGCTGATGCAACGGCGGGGCGATGCGCGGCGCCGCCCCGCCCCCGCGAGCCGGGCACTCACCGAGGGCGCTGTCCCCACTGGGGGAAAAAAAAAAAAAAAAAAAAAAAGAAATAATAAAAAATGCGGCGGGAAGCGATGAAACGAAGCGCGCTGAAACAAAACGGTCCCCACGCAGCCGAGCGGGACGGCGGCAACGGCCCCCGGCGGCCGCGCGGGGAATAAGAAGCGCCCGGGAGGCGCCGGCCCCGCCCCCTGCGCGTGCCGCCGGGAGGGGGGAGGGCTGCGCGCGCCGCCATTGGCCGCGGCGGGGGCGTTGGAGGGAGGCGCCGGCCAATGGGGAGGCGCGCCGTGTGGCGCTCCGCTGGGGGGTGGGGCGTGGGCCCGACCCCGCGTGGGCGCCGGGGGCTCCGCGTGGCGCGCGTGGGGGGTGTGGGGCGGGGGGGGCAGCTCTGCTGCGAGCGGCTTTGCGGAGGTGGACGGGAGCGCGCGGAGCTGCGCATGCGCAGGGCCCGTGCCGCCCCCCCCCCCCCCAGCGCGGGGGAACGGGCACGCGCGTGGGAAACAACGGGAATGGTCGTCGTGGAGAACGGAGCTCGTGGCCACGTGCGGGCGGCAGCTTGTGCCCTGTGCCCAAAGGGTGTCCCTGGGGAGAGCGAAGGCGGCGCAAGGCGGCTGTGCCCCACGCGCGGTTCACCCCGAGGCGCTCCACGGGTTTCGGGTGMTGACCGGTCCCCACCCACAGGTGAAGGTGATGCCTGGTGCAGCCCCTTGGGGAGTATTGCGTGCTGTATAGAAATAAAAGTAAGGAAACGGAGCGCTGAAAGCGGCAAAGACGGGCGTCGCGACGGGATGGGGCTGGTCTGAAGCTGGGCGGCTGGGCTCAGGGTTAGGGAGAGCTCCTGGGGGAAGCTGAACCCAGCTTACAGCACAGGGTGCAACTAGGGAAAAACAGCACAGGGAGAACACCAAAGGATTAAACACAAGGTCGGGAAAGAGCCAGGGACGATTTATATCTGCCTCAAAAACGCAGCAACGGCGAGGCAGCCGTCGGGGTGATGTGCTACCTGTGCTAAAATCCACACTCCAGTTACACAGGAAAATCAATAGGTAAACACCAAATACATTGCCCTTCCCCTGCCCCTTTCTGGATCAGAGCAGACATAAAACTCCTCCCTCGGAGAGAATATACTGTTCTAATTGCTATTGTCCTAAGGAAAGATCTCCTTGAAGACAACGCTGTTAACCAGAGTGATGCTTTGCCTCAAATCCCAATTTGCCTGACTAGTCCTGTCTGGAATATGTGTGTGAAGTGGAGCAGCATACGGTGAGGTTTGCACAGGTAGCCGCCAGTCCCAGTGGAGTGGTGGGAAAAATGCCAGTGGAAAAAGCTTGCGGAATCAGCCTGTGGTTTGCAGCTGGTGCCGCCGAGCTGCAGGCAGCCACAGCTGGAACACAGGGCATCAAACCATGGACACGGAGCTCGCCCGGCCCTTGGGAACGGATGTCAGAGATTTACATTAACACGGGGACGTGTGTGATGCCGAGCCACAACACAAGG